CCACTCCAGAGGAAAAAAAGTAAAATACAAACTAGAGAATAGAGTGTTGTTTAGAGCATTTTGTGTTATTAAAAAAAAAAAAAAAAAAAAAAGAAATCACAAAAAAAGAGTCTCATAATATTTTAAGTAAGTTTATGGCTTTTGAAGGAGAATGGACATGCCTCTTATTTTATGATTACTATTAGCCAGAGGCTTTTTGGTAAAGAGCTAGGACTTATCATTGTTTCCTCCCATAAGAGTCTATCCACACAGGCCTGCCAATCCCCTAGACAAGAAAATTCCCTTCAGGGAATCTGTTTGTTATAGAGACTTTAAATATTCTATATTTTTATTATTTTTATTTTATTTTGTGTATGAGTATATTGCCTTCATGCTTAGCGCATTCATGTCGTTCAGTGCTCGCAGAGGTCAAAAGAGGGCACTGGATTCCCTGGAACTAGAGTTTCGGACAGTTGTTAGCTACCATGTGGGTGCTGGGAATCAAACCTGAGTTCTCTGCACAAGTACTCAGTGCTCTTAACTGCTGAGCCATCTCTCCAGTCCCATGTTACACAGACTTTAAAAATAGCATATAAAGGCCAAAGCAGGAGGAAGGCTGTGAGTTTGAAGCAAGCACGAACTATATAGCAACATCCTGCCAAAAAAAACGAAGAAAAAAAAAAAGAAAAGAAAATCCTAAACAAGTCTAGAAATAGACAAAGGTTGGCACAATGATCTCTCTAGCCTTTGTTCACCCTCTGGGAGTACTCCACTAAACTCTGTGATAAATCCAATCTTCTATAGTATGCTGTGGGTGTCTTGTCTGAACTCTTTTGATGAAGAGCTCAAGGACTGGAATGGAGGAAGCCAGGATGCACCAAACACATAGAGTTACAGAACACTAGACAGAAACACAGCATCTGGCTCAGCATGAGTACTGAAGGAAGGCACCAGGCACTGCTGCCTGACTTCATCTTGTCCCTCACTAGTTCTGCCTTTGCCTCCTTAATCTCTCGTGAGGTGACCCTAAATTCCTAGAATGAGAGGACGGATTGGCCGATACTCATATTTGTGACATGAACTCAAATAAGCAATGAGCATGCAAGATAGTCTACACCCAAATGTGGGCAATTATCCATGAGCCTTAAGCCCAGGCCACATCCTTGAGCAGATATAATACTTATTTTAAGAAAAATCAGATTGTTTCCCTCAAGCAAGGATAGTGGTCATTTCTTTAGGAATGTCTGGAGAAGCAGAACTGAGGGAGGCACTGGATAACCAGGCTTCACCTGACTAGGACAACCCAGATACACACCTTTCATAGTCCCTTGGCCCAATTCTTTTGTTACTTAAACCCAAAGCTCATGTCAATGGACCCTTTTATCTGTTTCTTTTCCCAATGAGATCACACTGAACAA